TTAAGCCATCGGGTCAGGGACGTGAACCGCAGTTGACTACGTGGGAGTCCAGTGAGGTCTTTTTTTGATTCTAGGTCATCTGATGGCTACATAATTAGCCTTGACTCTTGTTAAAGACAAGAAGTGGGAAACTACTTAAAGGCAAGTTTGAAACTAGCTAGAAGAAACAAACCTCAAAAGGGTTAACTAATCCACAGTTAACTATTAAAACAAATCCAGGGCCACCCTGCAGCATGGTGGTTAGGGTAGCTGGATACCATATGACTGACAGCACAGTACAAGTCTCGGTCCTGGTGGCTGGAGAGGCACTCAGCACTTGTGTATATGCCCCAAATTCCAAAAGGAAGGAAAAATGGAAGAGAAGAGATCGTGGCATGACCATTCCCTATGGGTGTGGGGGATCCTTCCTCTCTCGGCCTCTCTCTTCCCCCTCCTTGGGAGCACATGCCCTCTGGCAAATTAAACAGAAAAACAAATCAACATCCTTTAAAGGAATGTAGGATCAAGTCATCAACAATATAAAATTTAAATGTCCTAAATCCAATAGCAAATTACTGGATGTGAAACAGGAAAATGTAACCCATAACCAAAGGAAAAACCACTTCACACAAACAAATCCAGACACAAGGAAGTTAAGTGACTGCCTCTAGATCTTAGTTATTGCCTGATCAAGGTTTTGAATTTAGGTAAGGGTTAGAGTTCACTATCTAACCACTATGATGCACTTCCTGTCCTATGAAAGACAGACAAGATGCTTCCATAATCCATTCTTTAACTGTAAATGTGCTGGTAATGAGAGGTGGCTTCTGGCATATGGCCAGTGACATACCGACAGTGAGCTGTTGTTTTTCTTCCAGAAAGGAGTTTTAGATTATTAATTGAAATGCTTTGATAGTTGACACAGCCTTATATTGGGTTGTTGGGAAAGTCATGACACATTTTTGCATTGAAAAACAAAGAAAAATACATGATCACTTTTCTGACAAGCTAATATAATACCTTTCCAACAACTGAGGTACCATTCATTCCATTAGCATTCTATCACTCATCATTTTGCTTGCTTTAGACAGCTATCTAGGTCAAAAGCATTAAATGTATGTGTTTTAAAATAAAAACAAGAACCAACAGGTGATGTGGTGAATAGGTGCTGGATTCCCAACTGGCTGACAGCAGTTCAAATTCCAGACCTGGAGGCTTTAAAATACACTGGGCACATGTGCATGTGTGCCCAAAATCCCAGCAGGAGAATGGAGAAGGGATTGTGACTTGGTTATCCTCCCCGGGGAGTGATTTCTCACTTTCCCTCTCACTGTCTCTCCAATGAGTATACATGCCCTATGGCAAATATCTTGTGGAGAAGGGATTGTGACTTGGTTATCCTCCCCGGGGAGTGATTTCTCACTTTCCCTCTCACTGTCTCTCCAATGAGTATACATGCCCCTATGGCAAATATCTTGTTTTTTTAAAAAAAGTGGTATACGCTTTGGTTTCCTTATTTATACTTTGATCTAATAATTGAGGCCTAGCACATGAGAAGACTTCAGAAAGTTAATGAAAAATGGAATTAAATGTAAGGCTTTTTTGGTGCAAAAAAAAATTGAAATTCATGCATAGTGTTTTCATAATATGTATCTTTCATGAACTCTTTTAAAAATCATTTTTATATCATTTTTATTATTTTTATTATTTTAAAATTTTCTATTGGACACATGCACTCAGTAGAGGAAGAGAGAGAGAAAAAAAAAAGAGAGAGAAAGAAAGCAAGCCACAAGGTCCAGGCCTTGAACTGCAGTTGACCATGTGGGAGTCCAGAACCTAAATTACCACACCATCTGCTGATGCCTTCCACGAACTTTCTGAAGACCCCATCTGTACTTCCCAGTCAGATGCATTAAATGTGATAATGTTTGTGAAATAACTTGGCTATAATAAATCTCTGAGTAAGTCTAATGCATCATCATCATAGGACACTTTTCTTTGAACTTGTATAGTGCAATAAGGGAAAAGACCAATTCCAAGCAAGTCATAGCAGACAACTGATCCTAAGACTACATGAAATGTCAAATAATAAACTATATGACATCCATCGAACTTACGGGTACAGGATAGCTTGGGGAAATTCTGATAAATTGCTACAGTAATCATTTAGTGGTACATAACCATACAGGTCATTTCGTACATTTTTCAATATTATATTCAAAGTTCACCCTTTATCCTAATATATTCATGTGTCTGTATTTAACTTACAAACAATTCCTTAATATAGTATCAGGGTCTTGAATAATTCACGGAAGATATGTATATATTAAGAAGAACCTGCATAGATTTAAAAAAAAATTTTTGCTCCAAATAAACTCATACCTTAATTCTCTTTTCCATGAACTTCTCGAAGTCACATTATACTTTTGTCATCACTCATAGCACCTAGCAGAGAGTATTCAGGAAATAGTCATTTCACTGAATTTTTTAAAGAATTATTTTATTTAACTTTATTAATTTATTTTAATTTGATCAGAGATAAACACAGCCAGCAAGACAGAGAGAGAGAGAGAGAGAGAGAGAGAGTGAGAGAGGGGAAGTGAGGAAGCAAGCTGCCAGGTCTGGGACTCACATCATGGTTGGCCATGTGGGAGGAATCCAATGCCACCATGCTACCTGCTGGCTCTTGAATCTTTTCTTTGAGGGTAAATGTTTTCAACTTTTTCCCTGTAAAAAGTATAGAAATTTCCAGCATTTCTTCAGCATATTGTTCGAATAATATAAAGGAGAGGAATAAGGCTAGTTTCAGTGTTTTTCATTTATTATATAAAAGAAAAAAATTAATGCAGTTGTTTTGTACACATTTAAATTCCATAAAACAAATCCATAGAAATTAGGATACTATTTGCATGCACTCTGCATTTTCTTTGTTTTTTGTTCACAAAAATAACACCACATTTTTTCCTTTAAAGCCACTAGAGCAGAGGGAGAACAAAACATGCAGCACTGTACACATTTGCATAGTATATTTTACCCAGCATGCCTTGTAGAATGCTACACATACTTACATAAGAAAAATAAAAGGG